ATACTAATGCGTATGAACTCTAAACAATCTCTGAAAGGCTGAGAAGTGAGATGAAATGAAAGTTGATAGTTTCCGCACGAGCAGCTGAAATTTCCCGTGACCTGAGGGCGTAAGGTGCACAAACAAACATAATATATTTCAGGTCCCAAATATGCTTGGTTTGGGGCAAAATGAAATACCTCAGTGTCAGCGGGAGGTGTGGTCGGGGGACCAGGAAGATTTCACGAGTCTAGCAGATGACAGCGAAGCTGTTTTGTGCGCAAATTACCGCTAGACTTTCCTTAAAGAAAGACACCTTTTCCCGCTCTGCCCTCCTGTATAAGTCACGGTCGTCTTTGTCCACACGAGGTGAGGCTAAGTTATGGAAGCTTAAGTGCTTTCCCTATAATTAATACAGTATAATACTATTAAACTATACAGTATTGTCTCCACATGTTACACGCGAAGATAAGATGATGACATTGACAGGAAAGAGTCCATGGCCTACCATCAATACACAAGTTTGTTTGGACAACTACTGGGTGGTAATGGTACCCATAACTACAGGCTGCATCTCCAGAGGCCATGTTCAGAGTTGAAACCCCTTTGTTTGTAAATGTTGACATTTTTGGTAAACGTTTCGCAGTCGACTATGCGCGTGATGCGATGTGAAGTTACCTGATGTAGGTCATAAACGACAGAGATATCTTGACGTTCATGAACGATGGATAACGAAATGTTGTATGTGAATATGGATAACTCCACCTCTGTGGTCCATTTCAATTGTTGCATGACTGCCCAGATATACATTTATCAAACATTCATAAAATAATCTCTTAGACTTAGCCAAAAGGCTTTTAACGACGCTGGCTCTAACAGAAGAGTCGTAACACTTGATGCGCCGTCGCAATTGCGTACAGAGAGGGCGGTGTTGTGTCAAACGGCAATACTAAACTATCGCATTCTCTTGTGGCGGCAAATCGTCGAAGTCTGCAGTTTCTTTTTTAGCATTTGAATTTTGGGCAAGCGGTATTATGACTGTTTTCATTTCATGTTTAAAAGTTCAATGTTCAAAGGATTAAAGGGAGCAATGTCACTCTTTTTGGACAGGGCGTAAGGCAAGGGTCCTTGGAAAAATTTTGAATTTTCGAACTGGCCTTTTTTGACGCTTGGCTTGATTTTGTGATTACTTTTTGTCATAGTAAGATTCATATTTATATGATAACACCCCATAGAGCAAATAAGACTGGTCAATGGTTCTTTGGATCACGAGGGCGTGGTGGAAGTTTTCATCTGTGATGACTGGAGAATGGTTTGTGGCCAGAGTTGGACAATGTCTGCTGCTGAAATGGTTTGCCGTCAGCTGAGCCATATGGGCGGGGCAGTTGAAGCGCGCACTCAGGCCATCCCGGATTCCTTGATGTCGCAGCCAGTCGTGATGGATCTGATGGCTTTTAATGAGAGACTGGAGGGGAGGTACACCGAGTGTGACGACATCGTGTCGTCTGGGGATGACTGGTGCAATCCGTCTGAAGTGGCCTGGGTCAAGTGTGTGCCGGGCCATGCCCAGCTCTTCCCACGGAATCAAGGTGACTACCATCCGCATCCAAGAAGCTAGGCAATATTTTGCGTAACTTGCACGACCCAGCATGCATGCATGTAAGATAAGCCAACTCTTCTATATGCTTATATTAACCAAAGCTTTGCCGTGGTCTACTTTCCTGCATGCCATTTATAAAAGTTACAGCTATGTCTTCAACAAGTTATTTTATCTCCAAGCCGAGAGGACCAATAACCTGCCGGCTGCAAAAACACGCGTTTAGAGGCAAAGATCCGTAGAATTGGTCTTGTACAAGACAATAACATGAGGGTATGCTGCCAAAACATGAGTATTATTCATATTAATAAATGGCCAACGGGTAAATACAGCTTTGAAATCACACTGAGATGGTGTGGGTTTGAGTCCATGCCAACAGAGATTACTCCCGCTTCCAGCAAACGCTACTGAAGTGTTCTTTTTATGCATTAACTCAAACATCAATGGAGAGCCTGACCTTTTAACTTCTTGCAAGAAAAACCAAAATGCTACGAATACTGACACAATCTGGAAGAACGCCAGGTAAAGAACACAGCCATATGCAGCATCGGTGCATGTGCACGCTTTGCATGACACCCAACACTTACATTGGCGTTCAGTCACACCAAACAGCTGTGGGGAAGCCGAGGGAGTTATGTGGGCACAGTATGCTGCAGAAAGAGGCGGGGATAGTTGACCCGGAAAGAAGCAGCTTTAGACAGACACAGAAGTCTGTTTGTGCCGTGCAAAGGCAGGACACAAAGGGAGACCTTACAAAAAGTCCAATACTGAAAGTAGACACTCTAGGGAAAGTTATTTCGGTGGTTCCCCGTGATCCCCATGTCCTGAAAGAGACTTCCAGACTGAGATTAACCGTTAAGGGAAAATTGCCAAGTTCGTGACCCACGCCTTTACGTGCGTGCTCTGGAAATTGCTACATGTATGCATTTAGACATGGGTAAATAGAACAGGCTGTAAATATAAGGGGCAAGCTTGCTAAACTGCATGTGTATGACTGTGTCCGGCATGTCCATGATTGCTACACAGTGGAAGATACAGAAAATAAAGGCTATGTTGTTAACTTCAACGTCTTGCTTCAGCCTACACGGCAGTTTCCCGCATTTGCCTATATGCAGATGACACCGGACAAAATTAACACAGTAAAAACAGTGGATCCTGTAACTAATTAATCCTTTTCAACTGGCATTTCTCTGTGTGTGGTGTGTATTCCTCATTTGCCATATTAAATTTAACATGCTTGACAAATGCATACTTATGCGCCTATAATGATGACGTGGTGTCTCATCACCAGACAACTTGACCGGATGGGGACAGTAAGGGACGGACGGCAAAAGAACTTTGCCCTGGGCGACTCATTGGGTGGGACCGCCTTGGAAACGTGAACGTTTGCAAGGGGAACTATGTGGATCTAACTTGACTAGTGTGACTAATCCACCTCCGCTTGTACATGCCACGTAAGCTTACGCTTGTTTAATTGTGCCAGCTTTGTGATAGCTAAGGAAGAGTGTGGTGTATTTGCTTCTAATAACGTTTACTGCATTTGTCGCAGATTTATAATTGCATAATTTCACGAGGCAAACGTGAAGAATAACCTAATTTGCATACTTCGGCTGCTGGATGTTGTCTGAGCGCTTTACGTGACAAACTGAGGCACCAAATTCAATATGTTGATTCCCGGGTTTTCCCGAGCGTCTGTAGCGAGCGGGCCGGCGCAGCCATCTTGCCTGGATCGATCTGAACTCATGCCCGGCGCCGGCCACAGCGTGGATAAGCTTCTGCCGTTCTTAGTTTACATCTATTGCGCTCGTTTTACAGCTCTAAACATGGGCTCGGAACCGACGACTGGAGTCAAGCCCATTGCCACGGACGTCAGCGACAGAAGCGTGACCCTCGACTGGTCGGAATGGTACCACGCGATCGACGGCGATAACCTCTTCTTCATCCGCTTCATCATCAAGTACCGCATCGCTGATAATGATGCATCCATGGACTACCGGATAGCGGCCGAGCTGCCCAGCTACCAGACCCGGCACACCGTCAGTGGACTGAATGAGCGCACACGATATGAGTTCATCGTAGAAGGAGTGAGATTTGGAACAGAGGGCGAAGAGATTGGACCCGTCACAAAACCTCTCGTTGTGATCACGCCGTGTGGAGGTAAACCCATCTATTCATTTCATCACAATCCATACACATAGTTATTAAAGAGCCACCATACTTAGTTTACTAAAAGAAATATGTATTTCAGATAAGGGATGCGACAAAATTAGCATGCCTCATGTGCTTCATTTGGGACGTCAGTAAATAATATGCAAGCGATATTTGAGATTAATCTTAGCTGGGAGCAAGGGCTAAGTATACCAGGCAAGATATGGGACGGAGGGGTACCCCCTGACCTGTCCAATCCCTATATGCACCCTAGACTTTTGTTACCTAACACATCCCCCCTTGAAGTCTATAAAGAATTCCTGAGATTCCGATCAAGCAATGACCAACACAAATGGGGCTAAGGTTAACATTGATTCTCATAAAAAGAGAGAGAGAGAGGGAATTTTACCCAGTGAAAGAGGAGGGTCACTTTTAATATTAATGTATGGACGTTGTTAAGTTCTCATTCATTTGCCGGCTGTAAAAACCGCAAAGGCCTATGTAAAAAGTACCTCCCTGAAAGCACAGGCAAAACCCAGCGTTTGTCAAGCAGTTATTCCCTCGGAATTTTCGAGTCAATTAGGCCGCAGTCATTTGACCAAACCGAAGTCAGAGAAAACGGATGCCTTCCAAGAGTTCTGTTCCTTTATTTTTCCGATAAGGTAAAAACCTAAAGATGCAAATGCCTTGAAAAACGTCAGGCGTTCGTCAGTGAAAACGAGCTTTCTGGCAAGGTGCTTCTAGACGATATACAGTATTCTGTTTCCAGTCACTGTGGTACTTGTACTTGTCGTGGTGTAGAGGCTTTGGTCGGGGGATGACATTAATCCCCTTTCATTGAGACAGGGAAATGACCAACTTCCTTTGGAAATCCCACAGGTCCGTCGCAGGTCAGTAATCCAATAGTGTGGCCTCAGGACGGCACTGGTAGGGTGTTAAAACTGTCCTGGGAACGCCCCACTGACCCGGACTGCTCCCCTACCAACTACATCGTGGAGTTCCGACTGGACAGTCTTGAGCAGTGCGAGGACGTCGAGGAACCAGACAGTCTCTCCCGAGCGGGCAGTACCACGCTCACCCAGTTCACGATAGGCGGACTGCATCCTCACTCAACGTACACTGTGTTCGTCACATCACGCAACCAGCATGGAATGAGCATTGCATGGCAGCAAAGTGTTAGGACCAACAAAGACGGTAAGAGAATCAATCAAAACGTCCGTCCAAAGTCAAAATGCTTTCATTGCTGACCTTCTGTAAGCCTAAACAGCAAGACCAAGTTAGTCATAATTAGAATTCATAAAGTGACCTTTGGTGGTCGCATGCAAATAATTAGTGGTGTTTACCTTCCAAACTCTGGACCCCATTTCCCAATTAGATTTACAAGCTGGATTAAAACTGATCCACCGTGGTCTAGCTTAAGCCTGTCTCAAGCCTTTTGCAAAGGAAACCCACAATAACAACAGACCTGAACAAACAATACAGACTGCGAAAAAATTTTTGTAGCTGATTAAAAAACCAAGAGATTCCCCATTTTTTAAAAAACAGTGATGGGCGGGATGTTGAATTAAAAGTATGTACACAGGAAGGGTGAATCATCTCTAGACATGCGAAGCTAGACAGCGGGAATCTGGAGCCGCGACCAATTCTTGTTCTTCCCCGGACTAAATCAACCAAAGTCTCGAGCAGCGGTTTTTACGACAGTCGACATCTCGGGGAAGCACATTTAATTGGCTGATCCGGTGATTGTAATACTACTGTTTTTACACTAATTCTCTCAGCCTAAAGTTGAATTATGTTTGAATCCACAATCCAAGAGAATGATCGGTGAACATGAAAACTTCAAAATATCGCAGTGCCTTCCACCTATTTCGTTCCAATGGAACACAAATCCACTTCTGTATCAATCTACTGTAAGCATGCGAGATTGCCCGACATTCATGCATGTCAAAAACCGAATCGAAATCATGAGCATGTAAATCTTTGTTGCGAATTGAAAAAAGAGTGAACTTTCGTGGGTTAGAATGAACGGGGAATAAGTCTAACGGCCGCCTGCTGTTGATCTCAATTATCTGATGACCCCCTTATCTGTGACTTGATCGATCAAATCAAACACTGAGGAATAAAACTGTACTTTTCCTTTTTCCCTCGACAGATACAAAAATTCCGTAGTCGGTAATGCTATGTATAAAACTCTGGTGCAACTGAGGTATAGGGCTCTGAGAAGTGAAATGAAAACATGATTATGGGAACAGAAATCGTGAACTTTCAAAATGTCATTGGTTGAGAGTGTTTAGGCGTGGGTGTTAAGCAGTGTTTGTCATCTGTCCCCGACTGACCGAGGCGATTCCTGGGATATGCCAAGAGTAATATACCCTTGAGCTACGAGCAAAATAGGTTAATGGAAGCGGTGAACTTCAAAGATTTGTCTCCTAGTGAGAGCCCACGGGAGAACATTAAAAATTCTGTAAATTTTTTTCTTGGGCAAAGTTTTGTCGCAACTTAACCTAATTCATGTTTTCACGAAGTCTGAGAAATGCCACCTTAACGTTGAATCAAGGTCGAAAAACATTTCCTGTTTCGTTAGAACTTGTCATCGGTATGCCAAGATGATAATCGTTCGTTCCTGACTTCCCGTGTCATTGCACCTGAACAAGTGTACTGTAAAATGCGGACTGGGCTCAGAAATGACGGGTAGGAAAAACTGCCATGCATTCTCTATAAGGAAAAGACGCAGACCTCAGTTTGCTGGAAAGTGTAGTTGACTCAATGCCGACAAACCATTGACTCTTGATCCAGTCTAATGGGTTGTTTGAAATAGCTTAACTTCTTTGGGTCGAGTACACAGTAATTGAAGTGAAGAGTGAAACTGTTACGATTTGAGGTTCAGCAGTTTTCATATGCGGAAAGCGTTCGTTCGGTAATCGGATAGTCTGCAAGTTGTTTACGAACGAGACCTTTTAAGTTCCATGATATTCATCACAGGTTCAATGAAGCTGTCAAATATCATTGTTGAAATACTAAACGTCAAGTAGATGTTGATGAATTTAATACAGGTGATTCACAGTGCGCCTCCAAGAGTTTGCAACGCGTTGGTGCGCTAAATCTGTCGACCCAACGCGCGTTTGAAAAAGGTCGACTGATTTCCTACACTGTGACTGGTCAACGCGTGGCAAACTTACAGGCGCACTACTGTGAAAGGCCCGTATTGGCTGGCCACGGAAAAAAATTCCTCGAAGCATTCTTTTCTTGTACATATCCTGAAATATCCAACAAAATGACCCCTGGGTAATATTATATTTTAAGACGAACAATACATGGATAGCATT